TTCCCGTCTCTATCGGCACAATAGCAGGTTACCAAGGAATGTCTATATCAGACAGAATTAATCATCAGAGAAAGGAGCAAGGTGCAACACATCCATGTCATATTTTCCAAGAGCCTACTAGGTGCCAGGCAATCTGCCAGCAACTGCAGCATGGCCTAGCGTGGTCTTCAAGTGCCTTGGTGCATGCCTGTGTTTGTTAACTGTCTGGGGAGCCAGGCTCCTGGGCTTTGGGACTAACTGGGCCCCATCTTGGGGTTAAAAAGTATCTTCTGAGAGAGCCTAGGGAGGGCGCTAGGGACAGGATTGGTTCTATCCCAGGAGAGAGCAAGGTGTGTGAGGGTGTACCATGATCTTGCATCCTGATTTGCAAAAGTCATCATCATGTAGGCCTTGACAGCCCCTCCTGCCAGCTCAGAAAACCCCAGGGCCCATACAGAAAAGCCACCCAGTAAATTCACCCTCAGTGCTCCCAGGGTGTGGATGGGAGGCATCCTGTAAGAGGGTGTTCCAGAGTGGGGTTGGCGACCACTCTTTGTTTATCTTAACTCTTCCAGCTGCAGAGTGTGAGGAACCTGTTCAGGTCTCTTCCAGAAACAGAGATTTTGTTCCCCAGAAGGTCAGCAATCAGAAGGTGATGAGATGGAAAAAACAGCACAGGAAAGTTACCTTGCAAGGGGTTGCAAGGTATGAGATGGTGGTGGGAGGACTTCTGCTTGGCTGCTTTAGGGGTGCACTATAGAAGTCAGGCATTTGATCTAGGCCTTAAAAAGGAGACAGAAGGGCTGGTGGAGTGACTCAAGTGGTAGAGTGTCTGCCTAGCAAGCATAGGCCCTACCCTACCGAGGTGAGTGGAGAGGGAATGGAGAGGGAGAAGGGAGTGTCACTAAGTAGGGGAAGGCAGGGAGATGGCGCATTCTTCAAAACAAAATGAGCGCTGGCACCCAGCAATAGCAGACCGGTGGGTTTTGTGAGGTGGAAACCAGGAAGCAAAACAACAGAAAAAAATAAATAAATAAACCATGAGTGGTTAACATCAGGATACTTCAGGTTACATTTTACAAGTATTAAAGCAGGGGGAACTTCCTTATTGTGCTGACTCAAGTAGACTGGAATCTCCTGGTTTTAGGAAAGCCTGGTCTGTATATTATCTATCTGCTCCCCTAAAGTTTCAGTTAATTATGTGGTACTTAGTATAAGTGACTTCAAGAAATTTTGGTTTGATCTGGTGCAGGAGCTCAGTTCAAAAAAAAAAAAAAGGCCCTCCATAATTTTAACAACCTTTATAACAATTAGGAGAGATGAGCAGAAATTATCTCCAGTTTTACAGACAAGAAAACTGAGGCCCAGAGAGAGTCAGGAACTTCTTAAGATTATACAGCAAATGGCAAAGGCACAAGACCCCAAGCTTTCAGACTCAAATCCTGGGTTCTCTTTTTATCCTCCTCTAGTTATTGTCAAAAGTGGGGAGGAGGTCAAGCACAGTGGGGCATACCTGTAATCCCAGCACTTGGGAGGTTGAGGCAGGAGGACTGTGAGTTTGAGACCAGCCTGGGCAACATAGGGAGACCCAGTCTCAAAAGAGAAAAAAAAAAAGTAGGGGAACTGTCTGTGGGAGAGAAGTTGCAATGGGACCCCTGGGCCAGACTGAGTGGGATTTGAGTATGAGGCAGAGGCATGTGTGGGAGCTCAGAAGGCTTCTGGGTGGACTCAGATATTAGGGAGATCACTGTGGGGCAGAGGTACCCTCTTCCCAGTCTTCCCAGGCAGGCCTGATAAGGAGGGGTATGGGGGGAGGGGAGCTGTGGCAACAGTCTGGTCCTGAAATGTGAAATCATGTCCAAAGCAGCCAAGGAAGATCCAGAGGGCAGGTGAGGCAAAAAGGACAGCAAAGGCTTTACCAGGGAGGGTGGAGGTGTGTGTGTGTGTGTGTGTGTGTGTGTGGAGAGAGAGAGAGAGAGAGAGAAAGGGAGAGAGAGAGAGAGAGAGAGAAGAGAGAGAGAGAGAGAGAGAAAGAGAGAGAGAATGAAGTTGCAGGGGAGTGCCCAGTGCCCAGCAAGCAGCCAGAGTTTGAGTTTGGAGGATATCTATCCAGATTGAAGAGTGCCCGCCTTGAATTACTATAAGCCTAAGGGAGACTGTTCTGCTTAGCATCCCAGGGAATGTGTGATACATTTTAGAATGGGATTCATCAGAAACAGGTTTAAGCCAGCTGTAATCCCAGCACTCATGAGGCCAAGGCAGGAGGATCATCAATTTGAGGCCAGCCTGAGCTACATAGGGAGACCCTGTCTCAACAAAACAAAACAAAAAGCAGTTACAACAAAAAATTTGAGCATGGCCAGGCTCTGGTGGCTCACACCTGCAATCCTAGTTACTCAGGAGGCAGAGATCAGGAGGATCAAGGTTTGAAACTAGCCCAGGCAAATCATTCTTGAGACCCTATCTTGAAAAACCCTTCACAAAAATAGGCCTGGTGGAGTGGATCAAGGTGAAGGCCCTGAGTTCAAACCCCTGTACCCCCCCCGAAAAAAAATTGAGCATGTAAATAGGGATTAGCTAGAGTATAGCACCTCCAGTCATGATAAGGAAATTTTTGTGGATTTAAAATAAAAATCCCTAGAGTCGAATATAAAAAAATTTAAAGACCACTTCAAAGATATAGGGAATTTCTCTTAAACAAAAAATTATTGATGTGTGCAAAGATTTAGCTAACGGTGCTGTTTGTACTGTGAAAAAATGGAAATAACCTAAATCCTACAATAGGGAATGAATTGGATTTATCCTTATGATAGAGACTTTGTACCTATTACAAATAATATTGCAGATATCCATTTCATGACATGGAATAATGCACATTGTATGTACCTATATGCACACATATGGGTGGTTGTAAATTAATATAAAGATTTTTGTTTTAAATAATACATTTTGCTGTATTGGGGTTTGATTTTCTTTCTTTCTTTCTTTTTTTTTTGGCGGTACTGGGGTTTGAATCATATTGGGGTTTGAACTTAGGGTCTCACACTTACTAGGCAGGTGCTCTACTATGTAAGCCATGCCCCTAGCCCTTTTTTGCTTTTGCTATTTTTCAGATAAGGTCTTGTGTTTTGCAGGGCTGGCCTTGGATGGAGATCATCCTACCTAAGCCTCCCTGGAAGACTGACACACACTGGGCTCTGAAGGTCTTTTTATTTTCTGTTGTCTTCCACCAAGGCTACTGTTGTCCGTGTCCCAAGACTCAAGAGATGCAGAAGTCCTCTCCCTAGTCTCATTCTGAATTTTCTAGTGAGAACAAGACAAGTATCCATCTGTTACACAAAGAGATGTCATGACTCAGGACTCTTCTTGCTCAGCAAATCTTGGTTCCTGTAACAGGTTCTCATTCCTATTTGTCACTTAAAGCACCTCGAATCACACCCCCACCCCGAGCCTCAGTGCCTTCCTTTTGCATGGCAACCAGCTTGGCTCTTTCCTTAAAGGTCCTCTTGGCTCCTGTCTCTCCTAGCTCCTGACTCACCCCTGTCTGGGAGGCATCTCTGCTCCATTACTGCTGATCTCTTGGACAAGGCTTTGCACCAGCCGTGGCCCTCAAATTCTGGTGTATTGGATCTGGATGAACCCATCCATTTTACTTGTGGCAGTAGAGTGACTGACAAGTGGAATGCAGCATCTTTGTCACTGGGTGCTGCCCTAGAGAGAGAGCTAGGATGAGGGGAATGATGCCTGCAAGAGCAATTATTTATTTCTGAGTCAGCAACTCTGGGGAGGTGAAGGAACCTGCTGGGCCCGAGTTCTGGATGCCACATGTACACCAAGTACAAATAGGGCAAGGTCTAGTTGTGAGCAAAAGAGTTAAGTTACTGCCCTTACCAAAGGGCATGGGACCTGGGCTAGCCACCCTTTGGCTAGACCCATAGCCTTGGCCAACCCTGAGCAATTCCTCCATGCTGCCCAGAACTTCCAGAGTCAAACCGTGGGGGCCCCAAAGATGACACCAACACTGCCATAAGGAGCTCCCATGCCAGGGCCACAGTGGGGTTGTGGAGGTGGCCTGAAGCAGGAGTGCTAGGAAGGACCGCAGCTTCTTTCTTCTCCTACTTCCTTTCTGTAAGGCAGTCCCAGGGATGCAAAGGTGGCCAAGTGGAGCATGGTGCTTTACAGTCATCTCTCCCCATCACTACAAACCGGCACGTAGGGCTACTGTCATTTTGAAGAACTGAGATACTGCGTCCTTTTGTTGATCGTGCCAGCAGCTGCCGGGTTGGGATTTCCTCTCATTCAGCAGCTCCATGCAGCACCTCAGGCAGGCCAGGCTTTCTGCCTTCTTCACTTTGCCGGAGCAGGTGTGTGACCTGGAGGAGAGTTGTCAACCCCTCCAGACAGAGGCAGTGTAAGGGCTGAAACCTTCCCTTCTTGACCCCTCATTACCAAGCGCGGGAAGCCAGACTGGTTTGGGGGGGAATCAGTCCTCGGGTCCCCTCTGAAGAGGGCGACAGGTGCCGCAGTGACCCCCTCACCTGCGCTTGGGAGCTAGCTGTTCCCCGAGAGGCGCTGGCCGCAGGAGCCAGCAGGCTAGGACCTATGCGGAACCGGGAGCCGGGGGCGCTCGGCTTTTCAGGACAGCCGAGCTTTTTCTGCCGGCCCAGCTGGAGTGGGGGTGGAGTGGGAGCGCGCGGGGCGGGCCCGCGGTAGCCCCGGGGCGGTGGCGCCGGGCCGGAGGGGGTGGGGAGAGCAGCCGCCCCGTACTTCCCCTTAGCAGCTTAGCTCTACAACAGCCTGATTTCCCCGAAATGATGGGGCGGCGCCGGCCAATGGGCGCGCGCGCGGCTCGGAGGGGGCGGGGCCAGGCCTGGGCTGGGGAATCCCGCTAAGTGTTTAGATTTCTCTGCCGCGCCGCTGCCTCGGCAGAGCGCGCCACTCCTTCGTCGAGGTAGGACGTGTGTCCAGCCGGGCTTAGCCGAGGCCAGCCAGAGTCGTGCCCAGTCGAGGCCAGCCGTGCCCAACGGCCCCAGAACCCGGGCATCCTCTGTCTCCTCTCCGCTTCGTGCGCTAGCACATAGCCCTCGCCGCGCCGGGACCCTCGGGCGCCACCGCCGGATAGCTCCCGCTGCAGAGGTGAGCCCGCCTTCGCGGCTGGGGGACCTGCGGCGGCGTCGAACAAAAGGCGCGCGGGACATCAGGAAGTGGGGGCCGCAAGCCCCAGCCCCTAGAGTCGCGGGCGCGCGGCGTTGCCGGGGACCCCGCGCGGGCTCGCGAGGGCGCTGGAGGAGCTGCGAGCCGCGGCGCGGGGAGGGAGGGCCGCGGCGTGGACCGCCCACTGACCGAGCTTGCCCGCGTCCGGCCGCTCTCGCAGATCTGTGCTTGCGCGGAGCCGCCGGGGGCCTCGAGTGGCCCCGTGCGTTCGTCACGCGTATCCACACCCCGTGCGGGAGGACTCGGGTGTCCACTAGTGTTCCTGGAGCTGGCTTTTGGTGGTTCCAGCTTGGCGGCCGGGCCCCACGTTTTGGGCTCCCTGTGCTGGTGGCAGGGGCTGGCTCGCTGCCCTGAGTTGCTGGACGGGGTTCTAACCTACCGGGGCTGTAGGAAAAGGCGCCACAGGTGTTCCTGGGGCCACTTCTCTGGAGGAGGGGAAACTAAGCCGGAAGGGATTGCATCCAGGATTCAGCTTTGTGGGCCCTGGCTGTCAAAGGCATAGATGAATTCTGGGGGCAGGGGTGGCGAGGCGTCCAGGATGCAGGCTTGCCCAGTAGGGAGGGTGCACAGCTGGAGGTGACAACTCAAGTCTGGCGAATGTCTTCTTGGCATCAAGTAGAAGAAGCTCTATCCTTCCCCAAAGATTTGCGTTTTGAGATAAAAGTTCTGGTATTAAGATACCGGTGTACTTTGTCCCTGCACATAAATCATTGAAGCCATCACTTCACGCCTGTCTCCTTCCCAAGACTGACTGGGAGGGGGAAGGATGAGAGAAGGGGCAGGTGTTTTTGCCTAAGATGCTGAAAAGATTTGGAGAGCAGTTTTATCCCAGTGCAGTTTCCCTTCCCTGAGATTGTAGTACCTGGTGCTCAGCTCAGGGCAGGGGAGGGGAGGGTAATTGGGTGACCTTGGGTGGGGCAGGGCAGTGCCTGGGATTGTTCGGCAGACTCCAAACGGGAGCCTCCGTCTTCTCTTTGCAGCCAACATGCCCATCGCTCGGATGCGCATGAGGCCCTGGCTAGAGATGCAGATTAACTCCAACCAAATCCCAGGGCTGATCTGGATCAATAAAGTGAGTGGAACTCTGGGCGTCCCCCCTACTGTTTTAACCCACGTTCTTTGGGAGTCCAAGCTTCACATGCTGCTCAAAAGGGAAGTGCTAGGAGGGCAATAAGATGTGTTTCCCAGTGGGTCCCAAATGCAAGCAGCACGCAAGGCCCACGCTTGGGCCATACTTGCCTGGCTCCTGCCTTCTTCCTCTCACAAGATATGGCAGAACAACTAAAAGCATTTAGAGCTTACAGTAGTCAGACTCCCCCAGCATCTGCAGAGCTTGAGTTCTTGTCTCTGAGGGACCCCTACTATACACACAGTATCTTACAGGGCTCCAGTTGGACAGATGGAAGACAGAGAGGTGGGCACTGCTGGGCAGGAAGATGACTGGTTCAGCAGAGGACCCAAGAATTAATCTTGCACCAGTTACTCTGACCCCAAAAGCCTATAGCTGGGACAAAATAGACCCTGTAGACTTAGCAATAACAGAATTCATACCAATAATAGTAACAGTTAATGTACCTGACATCTTGTTAAGTATGTTACTTATACTGTGTCATTTCTTCTTCACAGTAAGTCCTGTGAGATAGGTCCCAAATCAGGAAGGTGAGACATTTAAGAGGTAGATACCAAGATCACACAAAAAGTGATAAAGCTAAGATTTGAACTTGAAAAGTCTGACTCAAAAGTTCATGCAGTTAGCCACCAGTAATAATGACAGTAAGATCTTAATCTTTGTCACTGTGTCCCCACACTTGCTCTGATTTTTACCCTCAAAATTTTCTGAGGTATATTTTCCTCATTTAAAAAGAGAGAAAGCTGTGAGGGGTAGAGGTACAGTGCCACTGGTCACACAGGTAGCCAGCATTCAGGTCTGGTTTCAGGTTCCCTCAGGGGTATGGTGACGATCTTCTGTGTAACAGCCAGTGGTCCCAGGTATCCTGAACAGACTTCCAGTGGAAGAAGTTCTTTCTTCTGTTTTGGCACTGACAAGCCAGAAAGAAGCATCCCAGGGCATGCAGACACGGGCTGTGAGGAGAGTACTCTGTGTGGGCCCCAGCACATTGGTAACAGGTAGAGAGGAATTTGCTGAGCTGACAGTGGACCCTCCTGAGAGATCCAGGGTGGCCTGCTTCAGGCAGTCTTAGGATAGGTCAACCCAAGCCGGATGTCAGGCTAAAAAGGGGAAGTCAGCCTTTTCTCAGACTTGGGGGCTGGGCATACTCAGCCGCAGAGCCTGTGGTCTCTGAGCTGACACAGCCTTGTGTGTTGTTCAGGACGAGATGATCTTCCAGATCCCATGGAAGCATGCTGCCAAGCATGGCTGGGACATTAACAAGGATGCCTGTCTGTTTCGGAGCTGGGCCATTCACACAGGTATGTCCCTGGGAGTCTGGTCCTGGGGCTGGGGAAGAGGCAAGGGCAGACACTAATGTTAACACAGACTCTTGGTGGTCCCTGAGCTCCCTGACACAATGTGCAGAATTTAGTGGGAGGTTGGAGGGCAGGGGACAGACTTGTGTTTTTGGAAGACAGAATCCATTGTTTCAGCAAATTCTCAAAGGAATTTATAAGCCAAAATCTTAAAAAACATGCCTTCGGTGAGTTTGGGGCTAAAGTTCTCGGAGAAAACAGTTCTGAGCCAGGGCACTGAAAGATATGCACATCTTCCTTTCTCTAGCTATTGACCAAGGTCCCTTGGCTCAAAGCCCAACTGGTTGGTAGCCTCCTTTCATCCTTGAGGAATGGAGCTCTTGACCAAGCTCAGAACAGTTAGCCTACCTATTAGTAACTGTTCTTTGCTGCCCACTCTGTGCCTATTGTTTGGAAATATCAGGGAAACATGCAGGGGCCACTACCCCCTGGATGCTGATAGTGCAAGCAGGGAGACTGGGCAGGATCTAAGACACAGCCTAGGGGCACTCTAGTGTGCCTGGATAGGGCCTTCACTGAGGTCTGCTAGATGTTTGAGTTAAACCTAGGCATTTGAGAAGCCCCAGGGCCTAGGATCTGTAGAGTGTTGCCAGGGATACATGCTGGTTTCATTAGTCTGGGGTAGACTTGCCTTCTTCCTCCCGGGCCAGGGAGCAGCTGATGACCCACTTCTCTCTCCTGCTCTGTAGGCCGATATAAAGCAGGGGAAAAGGAACCTGATCCCAAGACATGGAAGGCAAACTTTCGCTGTGCCATGAACTCCCTACCAGACATCGAGGAGGTGAAGGACCAGAGCAGGAACAAGGGCAGTTCAGCTGTGCGGGTATACCGAATGCTCCCACCTCTCACCAAGGACCAGAGAAAAGGTAGCCAATGACTCTGGGTCCTCAGTAAACCTTTGGGAGGGAGTAAGGGAAGAAGATCAGCTGGGCCTGGCATGCCTATATCAATGCTGATAGCCTATCTGCCCCACAGAGAGAAAGTCCAAGTCCAGCCGAGACACTAAGAGCAAGGCCAAGAGGAAGGTGAGTGTGGCCCTAAAAAGCTGGACCTTTGGTCACTGTGGGTCAGGGTGAGCAATGGAAGAGAGTGCTATGAAAGGCCTAAGCTGCTTCCTCCCTCTGCAGTCATGTGGGGATTCCAGCCCTGACACCTCTGATGGACTTAGCAGTTCCACCCTGCCTGATGACCACAGCAGCTACACAGCTCAGGGCTACATGGGCCAAGACCTGGAGGTGGAGCGGGCCCTTACTCCAGGTGAAGCTGCTATTCTGGCAGGGGAACCCACAGGTGGGTAGGATGGCTCTTTATCTTGGGTCCTGGAGGCATCATGCTTTCATAGGGTGGCCTGTTACAAGAGGCTACAGGGTGTAGGGTGCTTGCTTCTTGCAAAGTAAGAAAGCGCACTGCCTTGACCTGTGGTTTCTGCTTCTCCCCAGCACTGTCACCATGTGCCGTCACTAGCACTCTCCCTGACTGGCACATCCCAGTGGAAATTGTGCCAGACAGCACTAGTGACCTGTACAACTTCCAAGTGTCTCCCATGCCCTCCACTTCTGAAGGTTTGTACTCCTAGTGCCTGGCCTGCTGGCTTGAATGGGTCCTGAGAAGGACTTCCTGAGGGAGAAAAGATGCTCAGAATTCCATCTGCCATTGAGCTGACTGAGCTGGGCATTGCTCACCCCAGCCCCTGTGGGATGAGGGAAGCCCTTGGGATACTAGGAAGGCAATTCAGAGTAGGCTGAGGATTGTTCTGGACTGGGGAGAAGAGGGAAGGGGCCAGGGGCTGTATCTTGGTCAAAGGTTGCTAGTGCTCTTGGCTCCTCTACAGCCCAATGTCTGAGGAAGGAAGTGAAGGGTGGGAAGAGGTGTGGTTCCATAGTTTGGGAGGCTGAGTCACCAGGCCAGTGTCCTATTCTGGAATCTCCATGGCAGGCAGATGTCTGCTGGGAGATAGTGTGTGTGTGTGTGTGTGTGTGTGTGTGTGTGTGTGTGTGTAAGAGAGAGAGAGGGAGACATTGAGACATAGAGAGAAGGTGGGGCAGGGAGAGAAGGAGAAAGAGCAGGGGAGCTGGTGGGGATGGAACTGCCACTCAACCTTTGCTCTTCTCCATCCATAGCTGCAACTGATGAGGATGAGGAAGGGAAATTACCTGAGGACATCATGAAGGTAAAGCCTCTCCCTTCTTCGTAGTCTTTTGAATTGGCCACTTTTTGGTGATGAGAGAGAGAACCAGTGAAAGTTTCCAAGTCAGAGGATTGGCAGCTGCTGTCAGCCCCTGGCTGCTTAAGTAGTCCCACAGGTGCCATACCCACGTGGCTGAAGACCACTGCCTTTCTTGGCTGATGGGAATGACACTGGGTTGTGAGGGTAGGTGGGAGGCCTGATCTCCAGCAGGCTGTACTAAAGCAAGCCTCAGGGCCCCAGCCAGCTCTGTGAGTCAGCCACCATCAGTGTTGGGTCCATGGCCCATGTCCTCTGCCCCAACATGCTCAGACCTGCTAGTTTGGGAAATGCACATCAGGTTTCAATAATCAGCTTTTGGGATCTGTAATATGATGACTTTAAAAAAAATTTAAGCAAGCTATCCTCCAGTTTATTTTTTTCTGCTGTAGTTTTATCCTGGCTCTGTCCCATCAGTGCAGAAAATTGAGATATGGGCTTAGTTCCTTATCTTTAGCTTTTCTATTTATCTTTTCTTGACTTGTTATGCTAACCTTTGCTTTGAGCTGCACTGCCCATTGCTGTGTCCTTACACAGTTGAGGGAAGTCACGGAGATTTTAGTGCCAGAGAGTGGGGTGGGAGGTCTAGGAAAATGGCCTGAGGAGTAGGGCCAGCATGGGTTTGCGCCTGCCAGCTCTTGGGCCTTGTCCTGATAGCACTGCACATTTACATCCACTGGAGAATGATAGTGCCAAAGGGTGTGATCCTGACTGGGAAGCCTTGGCTTATTGAGGGCAGGGCCACAGGGTAGTCTGTACTGAAAGACAGCTGATGACTTCTTGCCTCTTTGTCCCCAGCTCTTTGAGCAGTCGGAGTGGCAGCCGACAAATGTGGATGGGAAGGGGTACCTGCTTAATGAACCTGGGGTCCAGCCCACTTCTGTCTATGGAGACTTCAGCTGCAAGGAGGAGCCAGAAGTTGACAGCCCTGGGGGTGAGAAGCCCCTGGATCCTGATGGAGAAGCATGTGGGGTGGGGAAAACTTAGGGGCAGGGTCAGGGGACAGAAAGATAAAGCAGACAGGGGTGCAGACAGCTTGCAGATTAGCTGCTGTTCCCATGCTTGAGGTTCACCTAAAGAGGAGTGGGGCTTGCTGCTGCAGTGTGAACAGTGGAGGCTGTGTCTGTGGCTTTGAAGGATAGCTATGTGGGATGGCATAAGGTATGAGAGAACATACCTTATGCCCCACTCCCTTCTTCATACAAACTTCATATTTTCTAGGGGATATTGGGCTGAGTCTACACCGTGTCTTCACAGATTTGAAGAACATGGACACCAACTGGCTGGACAATCTCCTGCCCCCAGTCAGGCTGCCCTCCATCCAGGCCATTCCTTGTGCGCCATAGCTAGGCCCCAGACCCCCTCTTGCTCCCCTTGGTGAGCAGGACCTGGCATCATGGTGCATGTGATGGAGAAGCTGGACTTTTATGCCCCTTGGCATAGCAAAGTGTGACCCCACTGCCAAGCAGAATGTGATCACCCTCCTTGTGTCAGTGGACTCCCAGGGCTTGGCTGGCCAGGATCTGGGCTTGTCTTGTGGGTAACGCTGGCCCTGCCTCCTGGGAAGATGGAGTTGGGGTTCTGAAATTGCTATGTCAGGTAAAGGGCTTGCTCAGGAGTTGGCCTCTAGCTTTTCTCTCTGAGCCCAGCTTTCTGGAGCGGGTTTTGCTCTCACTGAACTGGCCCTGAGGGGAACAGACCAGTGACCTCAGAAGAGCATAGCACCAACCCTAGGGCAGACTCTGCACTAGGAGACAATTGCACTAAGTGAATCTTATTCCCAAAGAACCACCTCCCTTCCCAGTTGAGCCCTGGGGACTGTTCCAAAGCCAGTGAAATGTGAAGGAAAATGGGGTCCCATGGGACGGTGTTCCCTCAGCCTCAGAGGGGCTCTACCCTGCTTTCTGTTCCAATTGAGGGGCTTGGGAAGAAACATGGCACTTTTTCTTGTGGATCTTGCCACATTTCTGATCAGTGGTGTACACTAACATTTCTCCCAAGTTTCGCCTTTGCATTTATTTATACAGTGCCTTGTCTGGTGCCCACTGCCTCCTCAGGCCCCGGTAGCCCTCCGCAGGCCCAGGGAGGGGGGAAGTGAGTACCTTGGTGTGACTTTGAAAATTGGAAATGCCATCCAACCACCAAATCATGTATAACCATATATGAATATGTATGTAAATATGTACATTTGTCTTTTTATAAAAAGTCAATTGTTTACAAGGGTGTGGCTTTTTATTTAGAAATTGTAGTTGGCTTTACTTTTTATGGGAACATTCTGATGGATTCATTATTGGCACCCTGCTTGACCCTGAGCTTGGGGTGTGCATCTGTTGTGAATCCTTTCAGTTATGGTCACAGAAGATGACAGGAGGAGGAGACAGACATGTCACAAGGACATGCACATGTAAACATAGTCACCTGACCTTGACTTTGTAGCCATAGCTGGGAGTTAATTCTGAGCTCCAGGGGCCTGAGGTCTGCACTCTCCTGAAGAACATGCGAAGAACTATGTATGTATCCTGCTGAACACACAGGTGCTCCTTCAAAACAAACCAAAAAAACCCAACAGGTATGACACAATCACAGACAACTGGAGTAGACAACAGCCCAAGAAAGGTCCCCATGGCATCCTGTGCTGGGTATTACTTGATGTTCACTTTATACAGCAATAGAGATGTTCTCTCTGCACTGTTTTGGTAGGCAGTGGTACTAAGCAGGTGCACCAATTAAGTGCCTCAGATGTGTCCAGTGACACTTTCAGGAACTGAATTTTTAATTTAATTGAAATTTAAGTGGCCACATGTGGCCAGGGGCTACCATTTTGGCCAGTACAGAGAGATAATGGCTTGGAGGCAGATCTGAGGAGGAGGGACTTGGGTGGCTGGAGGATACTAGGACAGGGGCTTGGGACTATTTACCTGCCAGTTCAAGACTATTTGACTATTTTCTCAGGCAACAATAACTCTTGTGTCCTGAATATCAGTCCTATAACATACTGTGAAACAGGTCCAGGCACAAATGCATTTTTAGGAAAATGTGGCTGACCTCCTAAAACAGATTGGTTTACTCCACACCTTTCCAGGGTTAATGCTCATAATCTCTGTGAGAGGATATATTTGATCAGAACAGTATTTATGAAGACCATATATAAGGAATCACCAGTATATGATAGTTGTCCTTCAAGATAAGGCCCAAATCACAGGAATGCCTGGGGACAGAGGTCTGGATATGGGCTTTCCCATGTCTCCCCAGTCTCTGGCCCTGGGCTGTGAATAGTATCCAGCACTACCTAGGGAGTGGGTCATGGTAGTAATAGCATTGCTTTGGGATATGAAAGCTCTGTGGACGCATCTTCCATAATGTAAGTTCCTGAAACCACTGAGCCTGGGAACCACCCCCCTCATTGGGCCCACCACTCTGAAAGGAGTGTGGGCTCTTTTTGGGAAGGAAAGACTGAGAAGATGGTGAGAAAACTGGAAAATGGGCAAAGGCATTGAGTTCAGGAAGTAGAGTTACATGCTGTGCAAGTGGAAGGTGGGCTCCTGCTGGGTGGGTATTCTGTGTGGGGGTGTGAATGGGCCCTGATTATAAGCCTTGCCCATCAGAAGAGATGCACTTGGGTTTTTCAAGAGTAGCCTCAGCTGTGGATAGGGATGGAGAGGATAGCCTTTTCTAGCTCCTCCAGGGCCCAGCCTTTACTAAGAACTAGATTGGGATGATTAGCCTCTCAGGGCTTCTGGGGTTTTCTAGTGGGTGACTTTTTAAGTTAATGGTGGCTAGGGGTGGTATGAAGCCAGCTAGAGTGGACTGAGGAGTGATGGGAGGGAAAGAGTGCAACCCAGAATGAACAGCGGGGCCTGTTTCCAGCTTCTTTATTCTGCTGTCCTTCAACCTTATCCCTGGTGGAAGGTAGGCAGTGGATATGATAAAATCCCATGCAGCTGTGGAAATCTTTCAAGTTCTAATGAGCAAAGTCCATTACTTACTTACACATTACCAAAATACGAGAAGAATTATACTCATTGACTCCCAACTTCCAAAACCAAGATGGAGTTCCTATCTCTTAACTCTTGGGATCAACCCCTTAGGGTGTCCAGAGAAGGACCCCAAACTTTGCACCCCACATCACAAGATAGCTAGGTTCTAGGGACCACACCTGGAGAAGTAGTGTAGAATAGAGCCAGACCTTCCAGGATGGAGAGCTGGTCCCATCACATGGACCTCAGCCCTTGCCTGAAAGACAAACATGTTAAGGTTTGAGTGCTCATGTAAAAGTGGTGGCAACTGGCATTAACTCATTACCAAACAGTGCCTGAAATGGAGCAAGATCAGTGTAATCGGAACCAAATTTAGGTTTAAGATTATTCTAAGGACTTGCCAATGCTTCTAGGGGTCATTCCTAAAAGTATCAATTGAAGAACTAATGGTGGAAGCTCTTGTTGAGGCAGCTTGGTAGATCACTGAAAGATGAATTTCACTGGTGTTGGAATGACATCATGGTCATCAAGGACCACTTTCCAATGGAGGCAAACTAGCAAAGTAGGGAGGGCTCAGCCACACCAGCAAGATCTCCCATGTTGAGCTGAGTTTACAGATGTTCCAAGGCATTTATGGTCAGTCATAGGGGTTTCCTTACCTTGCTCTAAAGGTGTTACTTTAATTGGACTAGTTTTATTTGTTCAACTCATCCAGCAGAAGGAGGAAAGTCAGAGGCTAACGTGTAAACCATCCTTGTTGGTGTATCAGCTTTCAACATCTCTCAGTGAAAGGTGTGCAGGATGTTGTGACCACTCTAACTCCAAGGACAGGAGCTTTCTCAGATTTCTCTGCAAGTCTCCAGTGGGGCTGGCTGAGGACAGACTGAAATCCTGAGAAAGGTCCAGGGCTTGGTTGAAGTGGAGAGTGAAGAGAAGTGAAGGGTATCACTTCTCTGGGAGTGATACTTTTTCCTTGGTGAAGCTGAATCATGTGCAGGTTGTTATTTTCTAGGACTACTGGGTCTTCTTTCATACTGCTGACACAGATCCAAAAGTCCACTCTTGTATGGGGGAGGGGTAAGTGGGAGGTGTGGCACAGAGATGTGTGGGTTTCTTTCAGATCTAGTAAGAAGCTTTCGCCACTGCCAGTTGTAATGCTATTTCTTAAGTTGGGCACTGCTCATCCTCCATACTGTGGGTGTGTGAAATACATCAGACCTCTGCATTAACCTTCCCCATTTCTGCTAGCTGCCACAGAGGCAGGAGGTCTGGGTGGGGAATGGGGAGCTGGTGCACACCTTTTCCAGAGATAAGAGTACTTGGCACAGAGCTTATCAGCCAAAGCTCCCTTGTGGAGCCAAGTCTAGGGCCTTGTTGTCTGGCAATGTGGTTTTCCTAGCTCCAAGCAGCTCCCAAGTGACCTATTTCTACTGCTCTTCTGGGAGTAGGGATTACAGAAGCAGCCCCTACTTCTGTCAGCTCAGTGGTGAAACAGGTCTGTGGAGTCTACGCTGAGTTTAATTGGAGGAGATACTGGAGTCAATATGGCAAGGACATGGGGACTGAGCAAAGGAGGAAGGGCAGACATCCAGCCTGCCATTCCTCATCCAAGGAAATGACACCCACTAGCTTAGAAATGAAAACTAGAACAGACCTCAACATCTGGCTGGATAATGACAACCCAGACCTTAAGTGATGACTTTGTGCCAGGTCCCCAGGTGCATCATGACACCCCCCATGTGCAACACCTCACTCCTACCTCCTTGTTCATAGACCAAGAAACCAACAGGCCTAAGGCGCTTGCCCAGGATGACTCAGCTAAACAGTATGGAGGCTGGATTCCAAATCATCTGTCCAGGCCCAGAACTCAGGTTGATTCTACAATTTCAGGCTGCCCGTGAGGAAACTGAAGCCTGGGGAGGATGTTTGGGAGAGTTGGCAAAGGGCAGGGAACTAGTACCCTGTGTCAAGAAGGCATTTGGGGACCGTAATGGGAGGCAGCAAAAGCCTCAACTGATGTGCCCCGTCTGCTGTCACTTCCCTTGCCCCCTCCTGGCAGACAACATGACTCTGTTGCCATAGGCCCCAGGGCTCCAAAGGGGTTGTGTCTGGCTTGGCCCTCAAGAGAAGCAATGACCCACTATGTCAGGGAGGCCACCTGCAGTTTCAAGGGGTGGGGTCCCGGCGGGCTGTGCCACAGGCTTCTAACTTGGCCTCAGAACAGGGGCAACTCAACCATACATTTGTTTGCTCCAGAGGACTCTGGCTTGCTACATCTTAGTTCTAGAGATCAAAGAGGACTTTTCAGCCATGCTTCTATCTGAGCAAGGTGACCTGCTCTCCTGCTCTAAAACAGATCCTCTGTTGGGTCCTGGGGTTCCTTAGAGGTCTGGACTCTGGATGACTGACTGTTAGAGCCAGGACCACTCAGGGGTGCACCCTGACTCCCAACCACAAGACAGGGTCAGACCTGCAGCTCTGGAGGGTCTAATCTCTGGATTCTTGATCTCTGAGCAACTCTAGCACCCCTGGCAGCTGCTAGTCACTGCCCTACCTCAGGCGGCCATGGGGACTTACTGCTGGCTTCTTTCAAGGGAGGCCAGCCCCAGCTCTCCAGAGTCATCTGACAGTAACTGAGGCCCTCATTTCTGTGTCTGACCTAATCCCTGGACTGGCCTGGGTCCCTGTCTGTTTCTGCCCTCTTCCTTTCCTTAAAAGCCACATGGATGCAGGGGTGTCCAATTTTGCTACCATTTCCCTTGTGCTGTCAGTCCTGATTCTGCCTGGAAAAAAGGGCAAGAGTAGCAAACTCTTCTACAGCTGCTAAAAATAGCTACACCTTTGCTCAGAGAGGTGAAGGGTTATACTAGGATCTTAGCTCAGAAGCCAGGCATGATGGTGGGGAATGAGGATGGGGGTGGTGTGGAGGGAAGGGACACATGCCAGGCTTCTCTGAGAAAGCTGACTTCATGGATCAAGGGAATTAAGTGAACATGGAGGTGGATTCCATAGGAAGGGAGTCATTAGGCCAGAGCGATTATTACCTTTCTAAAACTATGAACGAGGCAAGAAGTCCTGTCATGTCAGGATAATAGTAGGCTGGGTTTGGGAGCTGCTGGCTCTGCCTGTGGGAGGTAGAGGGTAACTGCCTCTGCTAAGACTCAAGGAGCCTCTAGAAGTTCTCCTGCTGGGGTTGTTGAGGATGGGGAGAAGAGCTGAATGTCAGGGGGCTGAGATAGCTAGAGGGAGAGGCAGAGCCATGTACTATGTGGGGAGGGCAGGGAGGAAGGCCTGAGAGGTGTCCAACTTTCCAAGACTGGGGCATCCTGGTGACCATTCATTGCCACTCTTCTGTCACAAAGTGGTTAAGTAGCCAGAGTTCTAGGCCCAGGAGACCATCTATTCCCAGTTTGGGGGCACCAGCCTCAGGTTACTTGAAAGGATCCCCTTTTCAGTCTTTGGCTATTCTAAGGCATATGCAGTATGGGCCCTCACAGGTGAAACCTTACCATCTGGTGCCAGTCCCTTTCTATCTGCCATTCCCTCTGTAGTCTGTCTCTTCAACTGGACTGGAAGTGTCCAGTGGGGTGGGGGTGGGGAGGAGGGAGCAAATGGCTCCTCTTCTCCACATTCTCATAGTTGTCAGGCCTGACTTGCATGTAAGTGCATCTCTTGCTGTCTGGCAACACTGTCCTCAGCACTTTTACTTATTCTGCAGAGCCAAACTGGACCCTGGAGCTCAGCATAGAAGGCTGCGGGTAAAGCCCTGGGCAGAATGGCCCATGATCAACCAGCAGCCAAGGTCAAAGGTCCTGGCCAAGGGCCATGATGTGCACAACATGCAGCACTACCCACCCATACCCCTCAGCAGGACTGGAGATGAAAGGCTTAGTCATTCATAACAGTCTTTTATTAAAAACATACACAAGTTAAAAAAACATGGTTTAATTGTATAAAGAAGAAGAAATACAGATGAGGAAACAAAAACATTTATTAAAGCCACCTGTAATACACCACCCAGAAGTGACCAGGTTGTTAGGTTTTTAGAGGCTCCAATGAAAACACATTTTGTCACTCTCTTGTGCATATAACTGGGAGCTCTATGCTATGCAGACACAGGCATGGTTTCCATAGATGATGGCTGGGCTGGGAACCCCCCTTCTCCCATCTCTCTAGCACCCAGGAATCCAAAAGGCTGGCTTGTGGGCTACAGAGGTAAACTGGAGCAGATTGCGGGGGGTGGGAGGGTAGGGGGGTGCAAAAGCCTTGGAGACAGGGTGCCCAACTGTCTCAGTTTGCTTAGGAATGAGGAGCTTGCCAGGATTTGGACTTTTGCTGCTAAAGTGGGAAAGTCCCAGGCAAACTATGGTCACTTGGTCAGACTACTTTAGGCCTGAAGCCCTTGTCCAGCAGCCTCTTGCTCTGCTCTGCTGACAGGCTCTCCTGACAGGCTGTTGTCTACTGAAAAAGGGCCAGGTGAACTCCTGCTGTTAAGGTGCCAGGGACACACAGGAGGGGTTCCAATACATGATGGGCTGCCTTTCCAGCCCTGGAGTTGTCCTCAGACTGACTGTCTGAGTCCTTGGAACCTAGGTAGGCTGGCCCCATCCACTGAAAGGACTCAGCTCCCTGGGCTACCACAGCCAGGGCGCATCTAGCCTGTCTTTCCGTCCTCCATATCCACACCCCCTGGCACTTCTTGCCCAACTCCCTTCTCTCAAGAACTGGAGCAGAGGATGGGAGAAGAGGAGTCTGGGACAGGTTTAGCTAAATGAGGAGTGGGCCAGTGGCAGGGGACCTGGACAAAAAGGACCTCTCTGATAGTGGCAGGCGCAACCTGACCAAGCAGTGACCTGGACCACTGTCTACACCTAAAGATGGGGTCCTTGTACCAGAGGAGAGACTGGCAGAATAATGGTCCATGGTAGAATAACAATGTACATGTCCCAGTGCATGGAACTTATGAATATGCTATATTATATGGCAAAGGAGAATTAAGGCTGCTAATCAGTTCACTTCAATTTACAGAGGCTGTTCTTACATTATCCAATGGAATCACAGGGGTCATTAAATGGGGAAAAGGGAGGCAGAAGAGGCAGAACCAGAAAGATGGCATTATGTGAAAGACTTGAGTGCCACTGCTGGCTTAGAAGATGGAGGAAGGAGCCATAGGCCAAAGTATGCTGGAACAGGCAAGGAAACAGCCCCCCAAAAGCGATTCAGCCCTGCTGATATCCGGAGTTTAGCTCGGTGAAACCTTGTTTTGGACTTTGGACCCTGAGAAGTGTAAAATAATAGATGTGTGTTGTTTTAAGCCACCAAATTTATGGTAATTTGTTATCGCAGCAACAGGAATGTAGGAGATGCAACTGCCTCAAAGTCCTGGGCCTCAACTGGAGTGACCTCACAGGGTCCACAGTCCCTCTGTGAAGGAAACCCCATTCCAGCTGGGAGAACCTTGGGCAGGGAATGGGTCTCCATGGCTTTGGTGGGCCAAGAAGGCTGTCCCCAAGGACAGTGTCTCTCATGGACATTTCTACAAGAAAGAGCTGCCCTTTGGATCCATGCTCCAAAACCTCCCGCAAATCCAGACACTGGCTCTGAGTTGTCCTGAATGAGTTCTTGTAAGGTCAGGCCCCCCAGGACAGTGGTCAGAACCCCACAGGGCTCGACTGAGGACTCGAAGAGTGGAGGTCTATGGCCCTTTCACATAGCGGTGATACAACACTCTGAGTCCTTGGCCTTTCTCGCTACGGGGATTCAGTTTGGCTCAGGAGAAGCTAGAACTAAAGGGAAAAACACTTAAAGGAAAAGTCACTGAGTTAGATATCAGCAGATCCGCATGAAGTCCCTGCTCTGCCACTTAAGAAGCTGTGTGTAAGTCACTAGCCTGCTGGTAGCCTCACTGTCTTCATCTGCAGTGTGGGCATGACAGCATTTAACTTATCTGCTCACATGGTATGTAAGACATATAAATCACTGTGCTATACAGATTGAGATGCTGTTATTAATATATCAGTTATGACTGCAACCCCTCTCCCTTCTGATGGGTGGGCATGATCACGGCATCCTGCAGGGAAGGAAGGGTGGGAGCAGTCTCATGAAAACTGTCTCCCCCGCCGGCAGGAGGCTTCAGCCAGTCAAGACACCAGAGGACCAAGCCACAGCCATTGCCTCGAAGCTCAAACCGGATGTATGAGAGCCACCTTTCATCCCTGCAGGATGTCCTCCCAAACACTGCTGACAAGGCTTTGCACTGGTTTTCTTTTGTTTTAAGGAAAAGGTTTTCTAGACTTCCTTCTGCCTCAAGAACAGTCCCCCATTCTCAGAAAACACAATTTTATAGGGAAAATGTGGAACTTGAAACTATATACAATCAGTTCCAATCTAATGCATATATAATTGTATGTGGAGTATATATGGAGGAAATATATAATGATACTAATAGTAGTTACCTCTGGATGGTAGATTATAGGTGATTAGATCTTCTTCTTTATA